TTCACTGAGGAGACCAGAGTTTGTGTCTAATCACAGAGTGGTGGTTGTCTTCATTTGTTTAAAGGACAAGTTCAATATTTTGGTAAAAATAGTCTTATTTGTTTTCTTAGATAAGACAACTGATTCCAGTCTCCTATCAGGCAGCAGCCAATGAGCTTGGTTTAGCACAAAGACTATAAATGGAGGGAAACAGTTATTCTGGTTGTGTCCAAAGATAATAAAATCCTACCACCACCTCTAGAGCTTACTAATGTATTTTATCTCTTTAATTTTTTTAAAAACTGAGTATAAAAATGACACATTGTGGTTTTGCTGTTGGTAATGTGGAGCATCTTTAACTGAATCAGTGATTTCCAAGAAGTTGCTTAAGAAGTCTGTAGCAACCATGTGCAGGAATTGTTAAAACTCCTCATTTAAAGAGCAACTTGTAACTCCACTACACTAACATTGAAAGTAATTTTGGAGTTTTATACCTGCCTCATAAAACACTACATGTTTGTGACATTACAAAAGGGAGAGCGGATAAGCTGGACCGAGCTTCAACAATAAGAAATGTGGATCATAGCTGTCGTGTTAACACTGAAGAGGCTTAAAATGTTTATTCATACATATACGACTACAGCTTCAACAGCCTGCTGGGTGCAGGGACCGATAAGGACTTGGAGAAATATTGGCTTCTCTGCAGTAAGTAGTGGTGTGACAACAACCAATGGTAGAACAGGGAAGGTAACCGAAATAAAATGTCACCACGCAACCAGGTATCAACAGGCCATTTTAAACAGAAAGGTTTTGAGCTCTCAGTCATATCTTACTTTTCCTACATGAATTGATACCACCTTTTATGGTGCCACAGGAGAAAGAGAGAGAGCAGTGGGGGAGTGCTCGCTAATTTAAAAGTTTGTACATTGATTAAAGAAAACTTACAGGGCACAGTTCATGTTTTTGTTGGGCTGGGTCTTTGACAGATGTATGATCATTGATCCTGCCGATTCCAGGACCAGAACCTGCTGCTGATGGTGGACCTGAAGCAGCTGTGTGCATCGCAGGAACCACAACAGCTATGATCCTCTCACAGCGCTAGCTTTGACATCCCATCCAGAACTCGATCACATCTTGGGAACACATAACCCTCCTGTCTAAAATGAGCACTGCATACGACCACATTTTTCATTACCTATTTAGCAATGAAGTCTCTCCACCCGCACAAAATGTGCTCGGGTACAAAAAGCTTGTTAGGAAAAGTGTGGACTCCATGTTCTGACAGGCTGCAACCTGCACACAATAATTCAGCGTGTTGAAATACTGTGAAATACAAAGTAATTAGCAAAAATCCCAGTCACTTAGGCTAACTACCACCTATACTTCTACACAGCTCGCTGAGGCAGCAGCAACTCCCTTATGTGATGTAATGTGTACGCTTGTCTTCCCAGAATGTCTACCTGCAACTTTGGCATTAGAAAACTTTATTGAACTTCATCCAGAATTTCTGCAGAACCACCCATTGTAAACATTCACCAGTGACAGAGTTGCTTGGTCATTAGAATAAGGCGAGTAAGTTGTATAAAGGGTTTTTGCTGCACACATTGTATTGTGTAAAGAACTGTAGTGGAGCCTATCTGCACCTTTCGTAACCATTTGTACAATATGTTACTTTTGATATTTTGCTAAAAAAACAAACTAAAACACCTTAAACAAACAACGGTTACTTGTCAATCCAGGTGTTCGTTGTTGGATTAATAGAAGCAAAGTAATTTATACAACTGCCTTTTATTACTTTTAGAACTTTCAATGCAGATTTCATCTTCCAACCTCCCCTGCGATTTGTTTTTGTGTATTTTAGTAGGAAGCAAACGAGAAAGTAAGACCAAAAGTCCTCACCTCACTTTTCCTCCTCTCATTAATTAGACTGGACAGCCCATTCTGGAGTAGCCACCCTTGAATAATTTTATTTGTTGGCCTGTTGGTTTCAGTGGAGAGTTTCAATGCCACATGGCCCAAATTCTGCTTAAATTCTAGACTTTCCACATGACTAAGAAAACAGTCCTGGTGGAAACATTGCTGTAATGTATTTTTGTCCTCCCTCAGCCCTCATTTGCAGTCCGATGACATGATGGTGAATCACCACACAGAGCCTAGTCTGTCTCCACGTCCCCTCGGACATGCTGTCATATAATAACCTTGGTTCCCCTTGTTTCCATGGCTGCCACACACCTACAGCACGGTGGAGGCCAGATGTCCCTCTGTTTGCTTCCCACTTTCACCTGTCCAGCAAAGAAACTCAACCTCGAACGTAGAGAGTGAATATCACCAATTACTTGTAAAACCTTGTGCTTTTTGGATGTCTGACGAAAATATGCATGTGCACATAATAAACCCAAGTTGTAGCCTCTCACATATAATTTATGATGCACTCGGTATAACTTTGTTTCACCTTGATCCAGTTACACGCATGCATACATAGTGCAGCATGTGGATTTACACTACTGCATCGTTTCAGGGGCAGACTTAATATTAATATTCTCTATTTGTATATATATTAAGTTGCAAATCACTGAACACAGTACCGGCTCATTCCACATGTTAATGAGTTACAGGGATTATATTTGCAAAGCAGTGTCTAACCGCCTTTAAATACTGGAGAGTCAAAAAGATTTTGGCTGTTTACCAACAAGAGACTCTTCCCCTGCATGACAATGAAGTTTTAAAAAAATGTCTGCAATTATAAAATCCTGAACAGTTGACTCTCAGTTTGGCCTTTTGTAATATTTAATTTCCAGACAGATTTCACCAGTGTAAGGTAATATAAATCATTACGATAGACTGTGGCATCACACCCGCTGTATAAATAGAAGTGCTATCTTTGAGAAAAATAAAATGTCAGTACAATATATCTTTTTCCTTCATAAAACTGGTGGCGGTTTGCCTTATCTCTTTCCTCAGCTGGAATTTATATATTACCTACCTTGACTCTTCACAACACACATTTATCATACTGTGAACCAATTATACGTCCCTGTCGCTGTGTATGGGTGTAAACCTAATAACGAAAATTTTGGTTTGGTTGGTTTTATAGTTTCTTGCTTGGAACAAAAGTTTGTGTTGACTGTAACGAGTACAATAATCAGATTGTACAACCACTGACTGAAACAGAGTCACAACTCAATATTTGATTCATGCACTGAGTGAATGTTGTCCATTTTTTCCTCAATAGCAGAGCTTGAGGAGACGTGAGATTTTTATCTGGGATCACAATTATGTAACATGGCACAGCATCCGCACTGTAACTTAACTGAGTAGGAGAAAATATGGATTCATTCTGAGACGGTATGACCCTCAATTACCCTCTAATGTGCACTATGACCTGTGGGTGTGTTTTTCTACTTTTTAAAATATTTTTTGTGTCTTTGTCTATATGTTTGTGTGTATAAATATTTTTCTTGGCCATTTTTTGCCTTTAATAGGCAAAATACAGCAGAGCTACAATCATTTTTAACTCCAGTATTTGTCCTCTATGATTGCTCCCATATTATTAAGTATTGTCAGAGCACCCGATTTTCAACTTAAAGGGCTTTTCTGGCATTGAAAATAGATGTTTACATTTCTGAAACAACAAAAACAAAAAAACTGTACTTAAACAGAAGACATGTAATTTTGCTATTAGAATGATATTGCATACATACAGATAAGTAAAAAAACAAAAAAAACAACAAGAAATAATATAAAATTTTAGTTCTAAAAATAGAAAAATATAGTATATGCCTGACTTTGCTATGATTTTTAAAAAATGTTTTGTTTGTTGATTTGTAAGTGCAAGCTTATGCTCCTTTGGACATACTGCAACTCATTCTAAGGTCAGCAATATGTCTAAAATCAAAAACAAAAAAACAAAACAAGATTTAAAACCTACAGCCAAGCTTGAAGTTCTGTGAGACTTCACTTGGGCTGATCGACTTTATATAAAAGATGGATCTTAAAAATGAAGCCAATGCAGAAGTGCTTTAAACCAGCATTCTTACCACTGGCCAGCAGGGGGCGACTCCTCCAGTGGCAAAAGAAGTCTTATTGCATAGATGTCTAAGAAAAAATTACCCTTTTTTCACTTGATTTGTTACCGTAGTAAACATTTTCCTGTTGGGTTAATGGTCCTATTCACTATAGCTTCAAGTCTCCTTCAATATAGCATGAAGGTAATTTATTATTATTAAAAATACATTTTAAATCAGGGTATGTTTTAGGACAGGGCTACCTTTGATTGATGGGTCACTACTGTATCAGTGAGCATAATGTCCTTGATATCTTGATTTTCCCATCTCAATTATGTCAAATTTCAAAAAAGCAAAAGTGTCAATAGTCAAATACCAAAGTTAAAGCTACCAAAACTGTTGGTAACATCACAGTGGCTCGTTCCATCTTAAATATAAAGTCTCAGCTTAGGCACAGCAATGGTTTGAGCTAAATGCTACAATCAGTATCCAGTTAAGCTCACAGACTGATGCTCATATAACCATGTTCATGTTCTTAGTTAAACCTTTTTGCACGCTAAGATGTACTAACTTGTACTCAACACAAAGTGTATCTGATACCATTGGAAATGCATTTGTTTTCCTAATATTTAAGTACTGGGCAAATTGAAATTTTAGCCTAATAATGGTTCTAGACAGAATGAGAAGGGACCACATGAGTGTTGAAAGTTTATCTTATGAGTCCTTTTAAAGTGTGCACAATAATTAATCACAGTTATTCCATTAGTTGTTGTGACATTTTACTCAAAAGTCAAGGAATCACGAAAGTTTGTAAGTTAAGCCCTCTGATAACTATGAATGTCTTGCAAACTTTCAAGAGCGTCCCTCCAATAGAGGTGGACAAGCTGACCAACATTGCCATCCTCAGAGTCACCCCACCAGCGTGACTAAGTATGCAAATGTGAGTTTTTGTGTATCTTAGAAGTGCATGTGTAATATGTTTGGACATTTGCATGTGTGTGTGTGTGTTTTATTTAGGAGCTGTTAGTCGAGCTCGGCTGGGCGAGCAAAGCGAGAGGAAGAGGGGAGGAAGAGGAGGGAGGGAGCGCGCAGACAGATGGAGGCAGCGGAGACGACTGTGATGATGAAGATGGCTGTGAAGCATCTGGTGAGGAGAGCGGTGAGTCACGCATGCACACAAACACACGGACAAGCACGCAAAAAGAGAGGAACAAACATTAGCAAACATACACCCACACAGATACGCATACGAGTTGATGCACTCTTGCAAGCTTGTCTTTTCCTTCCGCAAATATACTGCTTCTGATTCCTACATTACACATGCGCATACTGTATATATACACATACACTAGTAATAAATAAAAGACAACACACACTTAGTTCATTGGCATGGTGCAGATATTAGAATGCTGCAGCCTCCACATATCGTGTGCCAGCAGGGAAATGCCCAGAGGGAGGGATAGTACTGAGAGATGGATTCAACTGTCCTCCCTCGCTCTTCCTCTCTCTCACTTTTTCCGTCTCCCTTTCTGCTGCTCTCTGCAGTTTTTTTTTTTCTTTTTTTCTTCTTCTCAGCCGGGATAAAGGATGCACTAACAACCAGGTCACCCCAAATACAGAAATAGAAAAATAAGCTGCAATTATTCATTTATCTTTTGACTTATTCGTCGTGCTTTAGCTTATACATAATACATGGTGTCACAGGGAGATCTGGGAACCCCTCGGAGCCTTGAGGCAATCCCACAGAGTGAATGTACTTAAAGTTTGCTATGATTTAAATTGTTGATGAGAAAAAGGTGCTCCATGTTTAGGTTACTGGCCAAATGTAATGTTTTCTGTCCTCAGTGTAAAAAAATCTTTTCAGACGCAGTGCTCCCCGCAGATTTACAATGTGTTTGTTGTCGAGCTTCTTCTTCCCTCCAGCCTGAGAGCTCTGGTTTAGAGTATTGTGTAGACTCTGGATTATCTGAAGCGCTGTTCTAATGACCAAAGAAACTTCTGGTTCTGAGTAAAAGCAGCTTTATTCTGCGTGGTCATTCAACATTTGAAATGGACAAAAAGATGGCAGTGTCTAAAATTTTTTGGAGGTTTTTATGCATTTCTAAAATTAGAATTTCGCATATTTAGCAGTCAGGTTGCAGATTGCAAGCAGCTATTTACGCCTCACCTCACCTCACCCTCACATTTAAAGTGTGTAGGAGAACCTGCAGTAGACACTAATGCTACCACGAAGCAACTACAAGTGCTTGGATTCAAATTATACAATTCTTGACTTTGTGAGAAACAACAAAAATCCAAAATTGTGAAATGCTAAATGGGACTGTGTTGATTTTCTGTGTCAAAATAAATGACTTAACTTGAAGTAAACTAACAGTGACTGAAAGAACTTATGTGCATTTCTTTCTGGTTCAGAGTGTAGCATCTGTTGTAAAACTGACCACAACCATCATCACTAGCCATGGTGTTTTATGCGCCTTTAGAAATATTACATTAGAGAAAGTTAATGGAAAGTGCAAATCACAAATGTACCCAATTCACAAAAACTATTTTCATGCTTGATTTAGGTTTTGTTTTGTTTTTTTATTTTTGAAAAAGAGTTAATGCACATGATGGGACATAGAAACATGTTTCTGACATAGTGAACACCTCACCTACATGACCGATCAGCTGATTCCACTTCTTTTGTTGTCGCCACCTATTGACAGTATATAACATGTCGAATACCAGCTGACATGAAAGAATAATAGCTTTCTCCATTGAAAACAATTCTGGGAAACTTCTCTCCATTTTTCCCTCATAGATGGCCATGTTTAGTGTTTTCCTTCTTCTACAAAGTATTTTATGTGGCAAACTGATTTTGTTTGTGGCTTCCCTGTTTATTACTGTCTATACCGTCACCCTCTGACGACGCTATGCAGCCTGGTTTATTCACTTCAAAGCAGATTTTTGAAACAAGCCTAATTCACATTTTCTTCTTCTATCTTTTTTGTGTTTAGAAGTGCTCCCTTTGGCAAGTGTAACCGCACTCAGCAGTGTTTTCACAGTGTACCAGTACAACCTGAAGTAGACACATGCATCACTTCATCGAGGTGATGCAACACTATTTTCTGTGGGTGTTAAGTTACTCTTTAATATAACAAGAAGGCAAACTACGCTGCAAAATAAGGAGGGCATGATGCCAAATGGCAGTTGCTGCCCTGTACATGACCCTTTTCCAACAGATTCATTCATTCACATTCATGTTAAACTAGTACCTAGTGCACAAACAAACATAACAGACATCTGTCATGTAAATGAACCAGTATCCCTTAAACTGTGTCAGTGTGTTTATGTGTGACCTGACCTCATGGCTTATAGTAAGAAACTCACTCTTTCATGTATAGAAGCAGCCTACCTTAAAACAAATCTGTTGAATAACCGCAAACAGGTCCAGTATTTTGAGAATATCGATGTCATTTCCAACCAGAAGCCCGTAGGATAAACAGTGCAGCCTTGCCGTCATCCATATACGCTGTGGAAAGCTTTACTGTCCACGTCTATCTTTAGCTGGAAAAACACATATGTTGATTAACTGGTCAACATATGAGAAGACCCCAGCCACCTTTATGGTGATGGAACTTTCCATGACACCCAAGTGCTCTGTGCCTTCGTCTCTGTGGTCATATTGGTGCTGACCCGGGGCAATAGTTTTCAGGTCAAATCAATAACGTCATAACAGCAGCGTTTGTTGGTGTTTTCTGTAGTTTCATTAGGATGGAAATTCTGCGACAACAGAAGTTTTATTGTTGGAGGTCAGCCTGCGCTTGCTTCACCGGATTGATTGTCATAATTCAGTAAAGCAGGACTTCTGCTTCGGCACCGTGTTGTTCAGAGGTCGTGTCATCCTCATGGTCACCTTGGTGATGTCATCCCTGTCCCCGAAGGCAGAATGTAACAAGGTCAAAGGTCATTGTCGCATTCATTATCCCTGCACTGTGCTTCTCATTACTGGAGTCATGAGTGTGTATTCTTATTGTAATGTAAAACACGAGTGCAGCTTTCTGATCCTTTATGTCAGGCTGCAGACCAAAGCCAGGCTATGAGATGAGCAAGTAGGAAAAGCTGAGTTATTTTACATCGTTACAGCTATTGGGAGATATGTGTGCATTTATTACCTTAAATATGCCTGTGGAAGCTGCATGTTTCCTTATTCCTGGCTTTAAGAATCAGTGCAGTATGTAATTAAATCTGTCATTCGCTGCATGGAGTTGGATTAGGTTAAGATTAAGTTAGTTTATTTACAAATGTAACTTATTAAGAAATGTCCTTTTTTCTCAATGACTGTTATTTTCATACAAACATGTCATGTCTGTGTTTCATGTAGACTGACTACAAGGAAGAGACAAAGAGTGTAGCTATTGCGTTGCATTATCCTGTTTCAGTTACAGGTAATATAAAGTAAAGACAATAACAATATAGTAATATCATGATCTAAATAAATATGGATGAACCCTCTACTACTTCACCCATAGTTTTCCTGAACACTGGCTTTGAAGCTGACTGTGGTGGGTGCATCTTGGCAGTTCCTGACTCCTCCTAACTCCCGACTAATCCAAAAATAAGTTAAAGCTGGAGTGGAGCTGAGGCGGGCCAGGAAAACATCCCAGAGCCATGGACTGTTCTGTGACGGCACCCTTCTGTCACTCAAAGTGGCCTCACCCTTAATTATGCATCACTTTAATCCTAAATACAATCTAAATGGGTGAGTTATTTAGAAATGTAACCACTGCACAGTTGTCAAAAACAAGAACATAAGCTGTAGACACCAAAACAGTTTTTGTACCAGATTGTTCACATTTTTATTGATCCTGTAAAGTGGGACTTATTATCGTAGGGTTCTATAGGGACTGACTCACTTTTAGAGCCAGCCTCAAGTGGCTGTTTGAGGAACTGCAGCTTTTATTGCTTCTTGATTGGGGAAATTTAGCTAACAAAGTCGTTTTTTGTACTAGCCTGTAATCACATTTGTTCTGGGAAGTTGGAGCCAGCCTCAAACTGCAGTTTTGGAAACTTCTGCATTGGCTTCATTTTTTCAGCCCTTGAGGCTACCACTTGGATTGGGTTTAGGCCTCAGTTTTTTTTGTTTTTTTTTGTTTGTTTGTTTGTTTTCATCACAAGTTGGATTCAGTCAGGTTGACCAGTTCAAAGTAAATACAGTCTATAGTAGAACAGAGGGTTGGGAACCCCAACTGGTTCAATCATTGCTGCTTAAGTTAGTTTGTTGTAGTGGTAGCAACATTTTAAAAAGAATCAAATGGCACTTTGCATTTTCCAAAACCAGAATTGAACTTACATAACATGTAACATATTTATTCATAAACCACAATATTTTAAAGCCAAGGACAAGAGATTGCAAATAATAATCTGATATATGCGCAAAATTCACATTCTGCATTTCAGAAAACAAGCCTTCATTTGCCTTCATCAGGAACATTTTTAAAACAAACATGCTTAGTGTGTACTGCACCGTCCCCTTCTTTAACAGCTCTAAAAAGTAAGGTGTTTGTGGGTCCATTTGTCATACCCTTCCCATTGACCTTGATGTGTCACATCTGTGGAAACTCACACCTCCCGCTGGGCCTGAAACTACTGGCTATTCACAGAGAAAATTGCTGGTTATGATTTAGCGAGCTGGTGGCAATGTGTTGGGATCTTGCCTTTCAGGCCACAATGAATTCCTGAAGAAAGAATCTCAATAAAGAGTGACAAAAGGGGATTTTCTGCATTTCCCACTGCTCGTCGGCATCTCTATGCATATAAACAAGCCTCACATGCACTGAAGCTGAAAGAGTGATGCAGGATCAACTAGACCACACAAATCACAGAGATTGGCTAGTCATTTAATCTTTTATTTATTTGTACATTTTATGTCTGTACTGTACATTAAATCAGTAGTTCTGACTCAATGTGTGAGTGCAATTAAATGAATAAATGCAGACCACCAGTGGTTTTTCTTATAGATCCGCGACTAACTCTGTGCTCTCTGATTCTCCGTCTTTAAAATTCTGCCTACGAACCATTTCTCAAAATCCGAATCACTGAAATGTGGAGCTTATTATTTCACAGGAGAGGAAGAGCATAGAAACAATACTCTGCTTGCGTGACAAA